GCACCTGTAGTCCCAGCTACTCGGGAGGCTGTGGCAGGAGAATAGCTTGAATCCGGGAGGTGGAGGTTGCAGTGAGTGGAGATCCTGCCACTGCACTCCAGCCTGGTAACAGAGCGAGACTGTCTCAAAAAAAAAAAAAAAAGATATTAACAAATGACAAAATAGCACAAAAACAGTACATGAATGAGCTGCAAATTTACCGTTTCTCTCAAAAACTGATCACGTGCTATATTTGTTCTTTGATAGCCCCTGAAGGAAACTGAGTAGAACTGGAATGAACAAGGTTCTTTGACAGTTTATTGTCCCAAAAGCCTCACCTTATGAATTGGTCAGAAGCGGAATATGGCCGAATTCCAACATTCACACATTTCCAAATCTCAGCTAACTAAATGTCAGTTCCATGAATTTTCACAAAAACACATTTGTGTAATCACTATCCTGATCACTGGAATCCTAGAAATCAGTTCTTTCTCTCTTCCAATCTCTACCCACACTTCTCCAAGGTAACTATTATCCTGATTTCTATCACCATAGATTGATTTTACCTATTTTTGACCTTTATACAATGGAATCATATAATAAAGATGGATAAAATAAAATAATGCTGTTTTGCCTCTCCCAGTTGTATCTATGATCCATCTGGAAGATTTTGTGATATTTTATATATATATATTTTTTATAGACAGAGTCTCACTCTGTCGCCCAGGCTGAAGAGCAGTGGAACGCTCTTGGCTCACTGCAGCTTCTGCTTCCCGGGTCCAAGCGATTCTCGTGCCTCAGCCACCCAAGTAGCTGGGATTACAGGTGTGCACCACCACGCCCGGCTAATTTTTATATTTTTTTAGTAGACAGGGTTTCGCCATATAGGACTCCTGGCCTCAAGTGGTCTGCTCACCTTGGCCTCCCAAAGTGCTGGGATTACAGGTGTGAACCACTGCACCCATCCAATTTTGTGCTATATTTGAATTTAATGCTACATATCAAGTTCTTGTCTTATTGAGCCTGGGCACATGCTAAGGTGCCTTCTGTTTTCTGGAGGTAAGTCTTGGCCTGCCCTGGAAAAGACCAATATATACCACAGTGACAGACAGAACACACATAACATAAATCATCCATTTGGGAGTATATGTGTGTGAGGTATGAGAGAAAGTATCAGTGAAGCTATTATGAATCAACTGTTTCTGATCCACAAAAATGGTGAACTTACATGGTTTGACTTTATACGATGTAGAACATACCAAGGAAAGAAGAAAGTTCAAGGTGTTCATACCTGAGAAGTTCTTTCTTATTGATCAAAGCTTTCATATATTCTGAAAGTTTCTTTTGCATTAATGCCAAACGAAGCCAGGCTCTTCCTCTACCTACTGGTGTCCTACAAAAACACAGAAATCAAACAACTAAAAACACAAGCAACAGAAGCAAAGGCTACAGCAGAATCAGTTCACTTATTCTTGCTAATGGTGTTCCAGTGTAACAAGCACACTGAGGTGCTCCTTAGGACCTCTCCCAGCATATTCCTGGGTAAGGAATTTCTGTGTGTGGGCTAATGCGACCCAGGGGGGTGTTTGGGACAAATGCTTTCAAAAAGAATTACTGAATGTAACTACAATTTGAAGACTCAGCCTCTGGGAGACCCAACTAAAAATGTTCCATCAGATTAGTTATAGCAAATCCTTATAAATTCAGGTGGATTATATAAAAGTCCAAAGCATGAATGTGGACACAGGCAATCTAGGCCTCTATCTGATTAAAATTAAACCAGTCTCATTTGGGAAGGTGGTCACTGCTTCGTAGTTCTAAGGCAGGCTACAGTCACTAGCTCTTCAGGTTAATTTGACAGTTGTTTTAATCTTGACTCTCAAACCCACTGAATAGCTTTTTTCCCTAAGTCAAGTCCAGCATGCCATCCCCTTAGATACAATTTCTTGAGACACACTAAGTGATTCCCCCAAGTGCTTTAAAAAATAAGGAAATGTTTGGCATTTCAACAAAAAGACAACCTCTCTTAGATGAATAATTATCCCTCAAGAGCACAATTTTCTTAATATTCTGTATACCAATTCTCTCATATCAGCACCTATTCAGGACATCATGTATTTTGGATTGGAAGTCTTGCTCTTCAAGGGATAGTTAATAAGAATGCTGTTCCCGAGAAATGGAATTCAACCTTAGACTTACTTAAGTCCTGGAAGATCTTTAACACTTGCTGTTATCTCTGCGGCTTCTGGAACAAGCTTTTCTACCAGTTCTAGAGGTCCCCAGAAAGACTTATTTTGTCCAAGAAAAGTTTTTTTAGCTAAGGCAACAAAAATAAAACAGTATTTTAATATTCTTTACAACATAAGCATTCTCTCAATACACACACACACACACACACACACACACACACACACACACAAAACTTTTCAGGAAACCAATCCCAGGTTATAAGATGGTTTTAGATTCATTCATGCTTGTAGAATAGATAATATTTTGTGAAAATAAAAAATTTTCTACTTCCCAAGACTCAGCCCTTCTTCTTTCAAGAACAGTTTGTGGCCTAGCCATATAATATAATAAAATATTTTAACAATTTAGTGCCTAAAATTGTGTGGTATTAATGAAGAAAACAGCTCAATAGAAAAGAATATGTAATCCAGAAATAGGCTATGGAATATTGGGAAGTTGGTAAGCATAGGCACACAGATTTTAAAAAAACAACCAAACAAAAAATAACAGGAAAAGAATATTGAGAAGGCAGCAAGAAAGGAAACAGGGGTGAACAAGACCAGATACTGCCCTCAAAAACTTATAGTTAAGTGGAAAGAACACTGAACCAAGAGTCGGGAGACCTGAGTTCTAGCACCTACTCTGCCACAACTCAATGTGTGACCTTGACCAAGTCATGTCTCATTCTGGGCAGGCCTATTTCCACCTGTCAAACAATTACTGTACTGGATTTGATTACTTATAATGGCCTTTCCAACTGTAACATTTAATGATCTGTATTTTTAAAGCCCTATAAGTCTACTGAGTCAATCATAACCCTGCTCCTATACAGACTCCATTCCAATGGATCAATATTATTAATTCAAGCCTCTTATTCTTTGGCTCTACAAAGAATGCTTTCTTCTATAGTATGCATTGCTAGAAAACAGCTGCATGCATATTAGCATTTTGGGACGACGGCCTACCTTTCAAGCCATGTTTCAGACAGTGTTCCATCACCACAAAGAATTGCTGGAGAGGTGCATAGTCAGAGTCAAGAGTCCTCCCCAGGTTCAGAGCTGATTCAATCAAGCCCTTGATACTCAGCTTGGCCATGTTCATGAGGTTCATGCGTTCGTTAGCCATGAGATAATTAGGATCTGCAGTCAAAGGGGAAGAAGATGAAGCCTGGTTACTAGAAATAGCACATTTTAAAATTCAGTATTGTATTCTTCTCCACCATGTACTCACTGTGAAAAAAATGCTAGTTTCCTTTAAGAATAGCCTCAATGAAGCGGTAAAATGAACTATTTTATCAAATCTCAAGCCTTTAGTTGTCTTTTCTTTCTTTTTTTCTTTGAGACAGGGTCCTGCTCTGTCGCCCAAACTGGAATGCAGTGGCATGATCATAGCTTACTGTAGCCTCAATCTTCTGGGCTCAAGTAACCCTTCTGTCTCTGCCTCCCACATAGCTGGAACCATAGGCGCACACCACCACACCTGGCTAATTTTTGTATTTTCTGTAGAGACAGGGTCTCACTTTGTTGCCCAGGCTGGTCTTGAACTCTTGAGCTGAAGCGATATTCCCACCTCAACTTCTCAAACTGTTGGGATAATAGGCGTAAGCCACCGTGCCTGGCTGAGTAGTCTTTTAATATTCTCACCACGGCCTCTGCTATCACCCTAACCTGAGGGTGTCATAACTCCCTACTGTACTATCTTCACACTGCTCTCTCTGCTTCCATTCTTGCCTACCCCTCTCTTCTCTGCATAATTTGTGACGTGCTCTAAAAATAAAGTCCCAATGGAGGAAGAAAAGGGTAAAGGGCTTAAACAAACTTTGCATTATGGTATTTTATTATTCTTTAAACTATGCACTAGCATTATTAGTATAATGCAGTACTAGAACTTAATCAACTCCCACATTTTTAAGTCTTAGCACACAGTGTGTATGGCTCTCATCAACCAGACAGACAAACTATTTGGGGAAAGAGGCTAAGTGACACATTTTATTGTACTCATTACCTTCATTTATTGGTGCTTACACTGTGCCAGCACTGTGGGCTGCCTCTTACAATTATGATCTCCATCTCTCCTTACAACATGCTGTGAGACAGTCACCAATATAACAATTTTACAGGGAAGGAAAATGAGACTTAGAGAGTAAAGCTTCAACTGCTCTGCCCTGACTCACTGTATGACCTCGGGCAAGTCACCATCCCATTTTAGGTCACTCAAATAGTTGCAGCTGGTCCATGGGCACAGCCAGTCATCAATGACAGAGCCAGAGGCCAGACTCCTCCTGACCATTCTTTTATAGGATTATTTTACCTACTTACTCTCTCATCATATTTAGGTATTCTCCCTTCTTTCCGTTGCTAAAAAAGGCCCATAAGAGCTAGGTGGACCAAGGTGTAACAGTTTATAAGTGGCAGAATCTGGACCTGGATCTGACATAAAAGCTAACGCTCTCTTTACCTTATGCCATGTGTACCCTCCCAAATACCAAATACACCAAATTTGTACTGAAAACTAAAGAAGGCCTAGAGCTCTATGACATATTCCATTTCTTCTTAGGAAGACTAAAAATACTAATAAGGCCATGGTTTCATAATACAAATAAGTCACTTAACAAAAAACAGACTGTTTAATGCAAATTATCCCAAGCAATTTTCTTCATACAATGTTTTTATTTATATCTGCTTTCAAAGTTAAAAGAGCAGAGTCAAATGGTCAAATTCTAAATTAATCTTCTCATTCAGTTTAAGGACTTGTGGATTTGAAATTCCAACTATATAAATCTTGGTTTGTTGTCATGTTGTCTGAGGTTACTTTTGGAGAAACACTTTATGTGAGAGTCAGAATTGGTATACATTACCATTAATTCTTTCCTGCATAACAACAAATGTTTTAGGGTCATAGCTTAAATGTGGCTCTCTTTGTTTATGATAGATCAACTTGTCAAGGGTAGTATTCTCACAAAAGGACAGTAAAATACATGGAAAACTATGCCCTGACAGCCATGAAGAACAACTATCAGATAATTTCTATTTATTACCAGCATGTATGTACATTCTAGTGTTTCTGACCTCCTATAACTACTCGAAAAAAGGAATAGAGCAGGGGTGTGGGTATGAATGTGTGTAGAGGGCTACGAGCCTTCCCACCTAACATCTCCAGTAGATGGCAGGAGACTATGGTTGGTGCTAGATAACTGCCTGCCCATAATGTAACTCTGAGGCATTCACTCTGCCTCAAGCCTATAGACCATTAATTCAGGAACTTATAACAAGATTAAACAATGCTGCTAGTCAAAGTTTATAAGCTGATTCCAACATAGTGAGAACTAGTCATGTGGGGGAGAGACAGACTTGGGTTAAGTAAAAAATATCATATTGAGACATTTTTCCAGAAGTAGTGACAGATTTATACCAACCCATCTATATTTTCTCATGTTCTTCTTCTTATAATCTGCAGCAGAAATGTTTAAGACATCTGGCTGAGGTCTGGAGTGCATGAACTACAGACAGGTTAACTAGCGTCTATGGGAATTAAATTTCTGATACCATGGACTCCATTAGCAAGGCGCTATAATCTATTTAAACTAACTTACATCACACACAAACAACCCACCCATTCTTTAAAAAACACTACTTGGCACTGTTGACATTTTAAGCTAGATAATTCATTTTTACGGGGCTCTGTTCTGAAAACTGATTTTCACAGCAACCAAGTTGTGGGTAACACTAGATGTCAGTAGCACTGACAGCTGTTTTTGGTGGGTTAAGACAACCAAAAACATCTCCAGACACTGGCAAATAATCTTTGGGAGATTAAGTCAGGTCCTTCTACATTGAGAACTACTAATCTAAACAAATGAAAAGTCAAACAAAAATCTGTTATAGTAATTTGATGGTTAGATATAAGAGCTTAAAAGTAACAATTCACTCCAGTTAGAATGGCTATTACCAACAAGACAAAAAATAAAAAATGCTGGTGCGAATGCAGCAAAAAAGGAATTCTTATACACTGCTGGTGGGAATGTAAATTAGTATAGCCTTTATGGAAAACTATACGGCGGTTCCTCAAAAAACTAAAAATAGAACTACCATATGATTCAGCAATCCCAATACTGGATGTTTATCCAAAGGAAAGGAAATCAATATGACAAAGAGATATCTGCATTCCCATGTTTAATTCAGCACTATTCACAAGATATGAAATCAACCTAAGTGTCATCAACATGAATAAAGAAATGTGGTATACACACACACACACACACACACACAAAATTCAGCCATGAAAAGAATGAAATCCTATGATTCATGGCCACATGGATAAGCCTAAAGGACATTATGCTAAGTGAAATAAGTCAGGGACAGAAAGATAAATACCGCATGCTCTCATTCATATGTGGAAGCTAAAAAAGTTGAGCTCATAGAAGTAGAGAGTAGAATTGTGGTTTTTAGAAAATGAAAAGAGTATGGAGGAGGGGAAGATAGGGAGAGGTTGGTTAACAGATACAAAGCTACAACTAGATAAGATGAGTAAGTTCTAGTATTCTGTAGCATTGTATGGTGACTATAGTCAATAATTTTAAAAATATTTTCAAATAGCTAGAAGAGAGGATTTTGAATATTCCCAAAATAAACAAATGAGTGTTTGAGGTAAGAGATATGCTAATTACCTTGATTTGATCATTACATTGTATACATGAGCCAAAATATCAGTCTGTACCCCTAAATATGTACAATTATTACACATCAAAAATTTAAAAAAGAATTTATTGCTCATTGTTAATTAACACAAAAGCTAAAATGAGTATTATTTAATGCTTATTATTGACATTTTTGTGCTGAATAGTATACAAAAGTATGGCTATTGAGTCTTGCTATGTTGCTCAGACTGGTCTTGAACTCCTGGCCTCAAGCCATCCTCCTATGTTGGCCTCCCAAAGTGCTGGGATTAAAGGTATAAACCACCACACCTGGCCTACAAATAATGTTGGCTGCTAATAATGAATATTAAATCATTAACCTGATTTGTTACAGAATATTTTCTATTCAACATTACTTGTCTTAAATCCTATTCAAGTATAAAATGATTTTGCAAAACTAACCTATCCTGTTAAAAAGGGCTGCAATGACCTGACAGAGTATGGAGGGGCTTCTGAGGGCAGGTCAAGTTCTGTTTGTTGGTGGGTGTTTATTACGTGAGCATGTTGAGTGTGTAACGTTGTACTGAGCTGAATACTTATAATATAGGATTCTTTTCTGTGTATTCTGTACTTTTAACTATATAAAGTAAAAAAAGATTCTGTTATATTGTATAAGCCAGAAAGCCATTTTAAAACATGCACGACTTTCATGATATCATCAGTCAAGCTTTTCCTGTGAGTAAAATGATTTAAAATTTAAAAATGTTCACAACACTGACATTTAACACTATTATTCCAATAGAGAACTTTCATGCAATTATTTTGTCAATACATAATGAACATCTACTATGTGTTAGATATTGTGTTTAATGTTAGAAATAACAGAGGTAATAATAGACTTAGTCCCTGCCATCAAAGTGCTTACTATTTATCAAAGTTGGTTAATACAAACTTATAGAGAACAAATAGGGCAGTGTACAGCAAACACCTGAAATTTCAGGATAAACGTAATCATATTTAACAAAGATCAATTTTATTCCAGGACAAATAATTTTTTTTTTTAATTTTTAACTTTTCAGATGGAGTTTCACTCTTGTTGCCCAGGCTGAATGGCATGATCTTGGCTCACTGCAACCTCCTCTTCCAGGGTTCAAGCGATTCTTCTGCCTCAGCCTCCCAAGTATCTGGGATTACAGGCATGTGACACCATGCCTAGCTAATTTTGTATTTTTAGTAGAGACGGGGTCTCACCATATTGGTCAGGCTGGTCTTGAACTCCTGACCTCGAGTGATCCACCCGCCTCGGGCTCTCAAAGTGCTGGGGATTACAGGTGTGAGCCACTGCGTCTCGCCCAGGACAAATAATTTTAAATGTTCCATTTGTTTTGTTTTGATTTTTGAGGCAGGATCTTGCTCTGTCACCCAGGCTGGAGTGCAGTGGCACAATCACAGCTCACTATAGTCCCAACCTCCCAGGCTCAAGTGATTCTCCCACCTTGGCCT